GCAAAAAGCGAGGGAACACCTTGAAATGGTCCCTTGTAAGTGACTTTTTTATATCCTTTCTTACTCAAGATCATGGAGTCGATATTTGTATTTGAGCCACGAATTGTGAAAAAATAGCAGTGCAATCTATCTCATTGTTACTTGATGAAAACTGTATTATGAGTTGAAAGATTCAAATATGTATGGATACGTCCCAAAAAAAAGTTCAGATCTGAAAAGGATTCGAAAAAATGGTAGAATTAAGTTTTGTTTACAAAAATTGATCGAGAAAAATGAAGAAGTAATCCTGTTTCATGTTTTCAGCAGAATTAATCCCTGCTATTTGCTTACTTTTTCCGTCTGACTGATGTAGATAGAATTATACGTGCAAGATTTGACTCGATTTATTTCTATAGGCTAGTAATTATCATTTCACACTCTTTTCTAAGCGTAAACTATGTCTGCTGTTTTATTGGATCGATCGGACGAATTATGATTCATTTTGGAATTTGGGCGGGTTCCGTACGCTTGTTGAACGACGAACGCCTTCTTTCCTCATAGTTTTTTTACATAAAAAATGACTTGAAAGAGTATATTTATTGTCATCACGCTCACGATTTAATAATGAAATAAAAATCGAGAAGGATTCTACTATTGACTGGATAAAGAAACAGCAATGGTTGACGAAAAGAAAAGATGAATTGAACCTTGTTATAAAACTGATTTGTTTGTAATATCAATTTCTTCTCAGAATTTTGTCGACAAATGTAATTTATTCAATGATGCATAGTGTTTTGCTTTAAATAAACAAAAAAACATAAGAGATTTAGATAGATGTGAACAACACACAACATTTTTTTTAAAATCAAGGTCCAATTCTACTATTTTTCCAAAGTCAAAACTATTTCTATTTCAAAAAAAACATTAAAAAAATGTTCAGAGCATCATCACTAAACTGTCTCTGAGTTAACGTAACTTTTTTAACCTTGAAAAATAAAATAGCGCAGAGATTCATTTTTCTCATCTGTTATTAGAATAGAAAATTTTAATGATTATCACGAGAGAAAAAATAATAAAACAAAAGACAGTATCGCTCAAATTATTAAATATTGCACTATTCTTTTCTTTCTCAATGAGAAAATACAGCTTAATATCATTCTGACATAAAGTTAATTCCTAATATTGAGGAGAAGTTAAAGAAATAAATAAAAATCTACTTTTTCAAAATAAGAAATAGAAATTGTTAATATAACTGTTTATATAATTTTTAGTGTATTCATTATGCTAATTTTACGATGAGAAAGAGAACTTCGAGTGTGTATTAAAGAGTACCATTATCATAAAAGTCTTTTTGACCTGCGATAGGTCAACGTGAAATAATAACATGCACAAACATTTACTAAAAATTACGTGCTATTTTTACAATCTAATAATAATAATAATGTTGTTTTGTTTTTAACTACTTGGGTATGTAGAGATCATTATTAGACAGTTGTTTGCAGAAGTGAGACTCTATTTATAGTATGATTGCAATACAAATGATGTAAAACTAAGTCGACAGATTATAAGAGTTTCGACTAAAATGTAAGAAGAATTTGCGCGCTTTGTATGGAAAAAACGTTCTGCTCTGTAAATGAATAGAATTCAATGTCTTTAATATGTTTTACATCTTATATACCTTCACACAAAATTGCGATAAGTACATATTATTGTGGACATATATCTCATCTTGTCGCTGTGAGCTAGAGTTATAACCGGTCCGGCGAAACCGATCCGGGCCGGTACCGTATCGGACCGGTTGAGTGAGTTGGACCGGCCGGTTTTCACCGGTTTTTACCGGTTTCACAAAGTTGTGCATATTCGTTCATTTTTCATCAGAAAGATACTATGTATGGGTGCTTAGTAGTTTTTTTAAAGGAAAGAGAGAGCGACAATTTTATCTGAAATGTAAATTTTCTCTTTTTATTCTTTCAATTTGTTTTCAAAGATAAAGTCATATTATTTATTGTTTAAAATACCTTAGCAATCGGAACACTGTCACGTGTTGGCGTTTATATGCTACTAATTTTGATTAAAAATGATTTTCATCAGAAGAGAAATAGATTTTACGTCAGTAACCAACAGTTTGTGAAACATCTCTCCTAAAACATAGAAGCATTTACGCATTTTTGTGTTAAGACAGGAGTCCATACTCCCTCCATATTTTGACATAGTGTGGACTATGACCTGAAGTGATCCTCCTTACCATGTTATCATGTCTGGTGGTGCACAGTTTAGAAGTAATTAAATTTGATTAAAATTTTGATTTGAATCCCTCGAAGGATATCAAAATTAAAAAAAACTACAGTTATAAAAAATAATTTTGCTTCGATAAAGTTTTCAAACTTATTTTTCACCAAAAGATCCGTACGAGTTAATAAAGATCGGAGGTCTCTACCACTTTCGTGTCAAGTGCTATTCAAAAGATATTCAGACTTTTCCTGTTTTGACTAGGAAAATAGTATTAATTAATTATAAATTAACAGCTTAAGAGAACTTGTTTCGTCAATATTTTTATCAGACATTGACCACATGTCATTGGCTGCCAAACTGCTGAAGAAGGACATTTCTGCGATTAGTTTTGACTGCGCTACAAGCTTTCTAAAATGGGCACTAACTATTCAAATTCTAACTAACACTTAAACTTTTGTTACACTGGAATTTATTTTTGTAGGGCGAATCGATCAAGTTTCTCATAAGAAACTTGCAAGAATCTGACAAGGATGTGATAAGACTTTTATAAGAATACGATAAGAATAACGTACGAGTTCTATCGATTCTTATCAATTTCTTACTCAGGCTTTTGTGAATCTTACAAGATTCATATAAAATCCAGCGGAATTCTTGCCACTTTCATGGAAGATCTTATATAAGAATTGAATAAGATTCTTATCGGATTTCATAAAAAAAACTGTTTAGGATAAAAACTATGGAAACAACTAATGACCTTTTTGAAACTCTATGTTTATATCCTTTATGAATCTGCGCTATAATAGAGACCAATGGTTGCCATACTGAAAATTAAATTTAAAATTTCTTTATACCGAAGTTGGATTATGAATGTTCGATCTATGATAATCTTTCTAATGCATACTGCGAGTAACCTGAGGTTGTTCACAGATTAGCTGTTCATATTGTCACAAAAAAAATTAATTGACTCTAATTCCTCCTTGAAGAGAGCTTTAACTTCTTGATCCTCAAGTATTGTAGATGGTATTTTTTGTCTTTTTTTTTCTTCGCTAATTTGTTTTGATCATTTAGAAACCCGAATGCTTTTACAATATACCTGAACGAGGTTAGTGTCATCCTTTTTAATTCATATAAAATATTAAAGAAATGAACTAAAAAAACAAAACTACTCTCTATTTTCTCACGCAGTATTACTTATACCAATTGAACTTGTACTTGTATTGTACTATTTTTCCCCCGAGATAATTCAGAATATTTATTTATCATGCTTTTCGTGTGATGTTCTTTAGAGTTGATCTGAAAAGTATTTTTGTGGTGTGTGAAAATAGACTAATATATTACACGCTGTATGAGTAATTTACTTGGATTCATTAGACACAGTGGCGTCTCTCAATATTTCTTATAAATTCGCATATCTTAAGGGGAGGAAAGTACACCTCGAAACATATTCTCAAACTTTGCCAGTTTGTAGAGGACATCCTCAAGGGTATACGTGTGCAATAACTCACGGTTGGATAAGTTTTGGTGGAGAGATGATATTTTTAAAAATTGAAAAAACTCGATTTTCTCAGCTATTTTGAACCTAGCGCAAAAAGTGTTTCCTGCATAGTCGCCCGCCCATCGAAGCGTTTTTTACGTTGAAAAATTATCGGGATTTTTACAAAAAATGAAAATCAACTAATAATTTCGAATTACACATCATTCGACTTAGTCTTTGATCCTGATTTCGAATATGATATTTTTATTATATAGAAGTTGAGTTCTGTTAGAGAAAATCGAAGATTATAAGCAGAATGTTTATTTATGTTTTCTTTTGCGGGGGAGTACCCGTCTCCCCCCCTTTAACACAGATGCAACACCTAGATCTCATACAATATCGAGAATGAGTCAAAAATATTGTGATATATCATCTGTATTTCTATATAACGTGGACTAATAAAGTATAGCTTTTAGCCTATGTAAGATGTTGTTTGTTTAAAAAAATTAATCATACAAATGACGATTACTGAATTATAATTATTATATTTGCGTGGGTTTCTACATTACTCAAAAAATAAATTGTTGTTGGGGTTATATTAGAACTTTTTATTTGATTAATAACACAGATATTTATGTGTATATGTATATGTATATATACACACACGAGAAAAAGAAGAAAACAATTTATTCTTCATTAAAGAAAGCAAAGTAGAATGTTTAAAATAAACTGAAAATAGGATGCTCTCTATACAACAGTAGCTCTGAGACAAAAACTTTAAACGTCTTTCAGTCGCTTGAAATCAAGAACAATAATCGAGCTTAATAACTCCACTAATTGAAGTAAACTGACCTAGAGAGATGACGATTATAAGTTTAAAATTGAAAATCACAAGAAATTGAAGGAATAGATAATATTAGCTGAGCAAGTAAAGCAGTAATCTGACAATTATACGATAAGAGAATTTTTTTTCATTATAGTAGTACTTTAAACTCTAATACTTGTAAACAGTCTTTTCCCAAGGTAAGTTAAATCAGATTATGTGCGTAACCTTGGTTCTAACTATTATTTTTGATTTATCACTTACTGAGTATAACAAGGTCGACAAGTCTGCAATTTTTTTCATATCCTTCTCTCTTCTTTGCGTCATAATAATAATCATTATCATCAATATAAGACGAGAAGAGTGGAAAGGTGTCACAGTCATATTTATTCATATTTCTATTATGATGAATGAACATTTTACTTGTTAAATATGAACATTTATTTTAATAAATATGGCAGTTTACGACTACATATCTCTCCATTTTCTAGAATGTATGATACTGATGATGAACGTGCAAATAATGCAATTAAAACTGAACATGATAATAATTATCAGAATCGTAATGATATCACAAATAATTTAGACAATGATTTATCAAAGCATGGCTCAACTGTTCGATTTTCAAATTATGATGACAATATATTATTACCAAAACCAGATTATGACAATTGTTCTACATATGTACCCGTAAATACAGATACTACACAATTTGATAAACTATTTGAACGAAGTAAAACAGCGGTAGATAATGAATTTTTATCATATTCACCACCCCATCCACGATGTTATAGTTCAACATCACCACCAAAAACAGCTTTTAAAATTCAACAACACTATTATCCGTCACATCCTCATCTTTCACAACAACAGTGTATACATTCACATATCATCGTACCGACCATACATGCGAATCGTCGATATTACTGTAACTACTGCCATCAATATTATTATGAGAACAATGATGCTGAAGATGAAAAAATAGAAAAAGCAGAAGAAATAGATGAAGACGAAGAAAACAAACAGAAGAAAAATAAGTTATTCTATTCAACTGGTATTTATAATATGCCGAGTACTATGCAGAGTAATAACACATCATTTTTTTCGCCATTTACTGACTCTAATACGACGTCGCAACAAAATTACAATACTCACAGACAATCAATTGGATTAAAAGCTCTCTCACATCACATTCCTACAGATGTGATCGCACAATCATCATCTCCACCTACACAACAAACATTTTCATCTACAGCTGTTGCCACTGTGGAATCAGCACGTACAAGACGTAAAAAATATTCACTAACGCATACAACACTTTTACAATCGAATAATCAAAACGAAACACCATTGGTTCGAAGTTGTTCATATAAACGGCCGCAATCAATTAAAAAGTATCGACAAAAACGATCAAATGAACAGCAAACATCTTCACCAAGACAACTACTGCATTCACAATTAGAGAAAAAAAATAGTGTTGGAAATAGTACGGCGAATAAAAATAGAAAACTGAGTACGGTAACAACTCATAATAATTATTCGTTACAAAAGACGAGAAAATCGATAAGTGCTGGTACAACCCGAATATCAGCCATTGATCTAATGGCAACAGATGATCCAGCTGATCAATGGTCTAGTCCTAAATCACCAAGATCGAGTCGTGTAGGTGCGTATTAATTGGTTACTCTTTATTCTCGAATGTATCTTAAGAAAATAATATAAACACATTTTTAAGTACATCAATTCTGATTTTCTTTTATATTAGGTTCATTACCGCTCGATCAACTTCAGTTACCAGATGAAGAGATATATCGAATAAGACAATTTAATACAACATCAAAAGGATTCGTTAATCGTGGGTAATGACCACGAAAAGAATTTTTTTCATTTCAATAAGTTTTTCCATATACTTATAAAACGTACTTATGAACATACGTTTTGTTTTTATTATGAAAACTCTTTTTTGTTTTAGTGATTCATTTAAACGTTCATTTAAACGTAGTGGTTCAATAAGTCGTCGTGGCTCATTTCGTCAAACGAACGATGATGCTGCAACAGTGGTCAATGGTTTTGAAAATGGTCATCATTCAACGTCACAAGAACGTTTATCGGTTAGTCAAACAAATATGATGACAGTCAGTGGTTCATCGGTACATGGTTTAACAAATAACACAATGTTAGGTGACAACTATATAAACGAAAGTACACATTCATTAAATAATACGAATACAAATAATATGAATATAATTAATTCGGCAGCAAACGATCTTTTACCACTTGTATATGTCACAAATGAAGATCAAACACCCGTTGTGGAAACAATTGAAAATGAAGATGGACAAGTACAAGAAATTCCAATTTATCAAGTCTATTTAATGGGATTATCGGGTACGGGAAAATGCAGTCTTATTAGACAATTCAAGACAACAGAATATAGAGGAATATATGAATATTCAAGTTCCGTAGGTAAGTTAGTAAAGATTTAATTGTTGATTTTGCTTCAATAATTTTGATGTATGATGATTTTTACTTTTACTTTGAGCGTACACTCATTTTAAATTGACATCATCTACGTCAAAGCAGGTGACAAACAAAATTCTTTACTTCTGCGTTAATATTTCTATACAAAAACATTATATTAAGATTATTGAATATTCCAGTCCAACTCTAACTATTCAATGAGGAAGGAAATAGCCACTTTGAATCTTCCTCTTTCGAACAACAATTGATGCTCTCTTTATATTCATCATTTTCTTTGAAAATCATTTTTTTTTTTTTTTTTTTTAATAAAAAGAAAAAAGAGGATCAAATTGAATTCCTTCTGTTAAATACATTTCAATTAACTTGTATCCTACGCAAATTTGTTTTTCCATCTATTATGAAAAATGATTCTAGTTAATGTTTAGATGATTCATTAATGATGCTCATGCAACTAATACCTATTATGACTCGCGATATTTTTCATCTTTCGACATTTACATCAATCAAGTTTGATCATTGATCTATTTTTTATCTATATATTTGTTTTTTTTCTTCTCTCCCTTATTTTCCCTCCCTTATTTATTTCTCACTACTATGCCATTTCAGTAACAATGTGTTAAAAATATTATAAGTTGAGTGTTATATAGAGAAATACAAAATAAGAGAATATATTTCTCGGGTTTTTTTATTTTTATTTTTTTATTAGATTTAACAACTATACAAAGACAGAGTTATTCGTATTATACAACAGTATTCTTCACTATGCTCGTTGTGTTTATTTTACAAATAGATATATTGTGTGTAGCCATCTGTTTAAATGTCGACAGTTGTTTCCTCATGTTCGATATTATATACAATATGCATCTATAAATGAATTCTCAAATTTATAATGGGATTAATCATATATAATGCATGATAGATATTTTCTCAAAATTTGAATTTATTTATTTCAAAAATAGTTAAAAAAAAAAATTTTTTAAATTATTTATTCTAGATAAATTTTTTTATAGGAAAAATGGTTTTTTAAAACGCTTGAAAGAATTGACTAATGATGTTATAAATCTTAAATTTATATTATACTAAGAGTTTATTAACAAGAAAAATTTTTCATTTATCTTCTAAGTGTGACTGTAGAAATCTGTTCGATATAGTATATATACACATGAATAGAGAAACTACAGTGTTTGTATTCAGATAATGATTGATTTTTAGTCTAGATAATACTAATATGACGATTGAGATGTAATAATAGTAATACTTACATATCGTTTTCTGGATATCTTTTAGAGAAAAGTTTAGTTGATGTAAGAAAAGAATATCCTGATATAAGACTATTTTAGTCAAATATTAATCTATAAATAAAGAAAAAACGATTAACTTATCGTAATTTTCTTTAAATGATGTTATCTAACTATATATTAGTTAACTGTGGATTGAACTTGGATAAATGTTTTATGATTTATAATTTACAAAATATATGCCTATTTGAATAATTAATTAACAATAGTTTCCATTTATGTCAAATAAAATCTTGATTCAAAGAGTATTGTGACCTCAATAGAACAGAAACTATGTAATTTGTTAAAAACAGATCACTTCCATTCAATTACTAGGAATGTTATTTATTGGACGCAATTATACTATGATGCAATTATATGATCTACATAGAATTTCTTTGCACATATTCGTGCTATTTATGTTGACAAAATAACGTATAAAATGTGCGAATAGGTCTTTTGAACAGAAGTGATCTTTTTTTATTTTTTTTGCTTATGCACTTGTGAGTAAAACTAATTATTATAACTGTTTCTATTGTTCATTTCAAGAGGATGATCCCGATAATACAGTGTCGATTATGCTCGATGGTGAAGAATCAAGAATGCATATTATGAACATAGATGTTGATCTTGTAAGTGTTGATAAAATTTTTATATTTTAGGACGATATTTAAGTCGACTGAGTAGGAGACTTATTGCTTTTTACTCCGAGCGTTGCCTAACAAAAATATTCTTTCTTTCTTTCTTTCTTTCTAGACTTTATTTTCGTACTCGAGTCAACCATTTGTTCTCGGTTATCTCTGATCGTATCGATTTGATGAAAAGATCATTTGAAAGTAGAAGAGTCAGAGATGATACATCCGAAGCTACTTTTGCGATATGTGCTTTAGTTATCCTATAATCAGTAGTATAAAGCGAGTACATTTTTTAGAAAACTCTATCATTTTTCCTATGAGATAATTAAGCATCACGTGATATCGTTCATAGTGAATATAAACTATAGTGCTTGATATGAAAGTTATACCAGAATGTACAGAAGGATAATGAATCAGCCATGACTGATTTATTATTATACTGATTCATTAATATATCATACATTCTGCTATAGGTTTCATAATACCAAGCACTATATGACTGTCATCTTCCTGTTGAGTATTATCTTTCTGAAGAAAAGTCAAACTGTAATAAATTTCTAGATCTTCTAATTTTGTCTGTTTACCGTTTCACTCAGTCGGATTCCAATCTTCGCAGAGAGCAGTTGATATCTAGTTTGTTTTGTCATCTCAGTTCAGTGAAGGATACTGATACATCCGTATAAAAATTTTTAGAAAAATCGCTACCATAATACTCAAAACAAGAACAATTTTCGATTAAAGTCTTTAAAATATCGAGAAAGTGCAGTGTAATAAAGTGTAAGCTACTTTTCTAGAGTATAACGACTGGATAATAGACTATTTTCATATTCGAACTAATTCATGACAGATAGTCCACTCAATCATTCAATATTTGCGTTCTAAACTATGCACTCCAATAGATAGATAAGTAGTTCGTTTTGTATAGAAAAACATATAATAGTAAAAGAGCAATCCAATTAGTGGTAGTGTGGAAAACAATGATAAAACGTTTATCTCATGAGATTTGTAGCAGTGTCTATTTGATATGACGCTAATAACAATACGTTATCTATTTTAGGTTAAATGTAGCGATGAAGGCGATGCCTATGTTATTGTTTATTCGATTACAGATCGTCAAAGTTTTCAGATTGCATCAAATTTGGCTAAAAATATACGTGAGAGAGACAAAGATACAGACAAACATATACCGATCATACTTGTAGGAAATAAAAGTGATTTAGTTCGAAAAAGAGTCGTATCAAAAGAAGGTGTGTATTGCTGTTTTTTTAAATATTCTAAGATAGATAATAGAGATCTAAGATAGAAAAATAGATTTACCTTTCCATTTGGATAACTCAGATATGTTACATGACCAACTTTTTTTAATCAGAAACAACAAGAAATGGTGAAAATATCCTACTATACTCTAGTGTTCTTAATTTTTAGCTGCACGTCAAACGGCGTTTAAATACGACTGTAAACTTGTTGAAACATCAGCAGCTATCAATGATAAAGTCGATGATCTATTAGCTGGTACATTGAAACAAATTCGTATTAACGAATATAATCATGAACGACGTAAAACGATAACAAATGAATCTGAAATTAAACAAAAACCATCGAAAAATGTTTTTATTAAATTTTTAAATGTATTTCGAAAAAAGCCACGTATACCGGCTGATGTCGAAAATTTATATACAGGTTTAAGACAGTCATATTCATAAACTATTTATAAAAAAGTCAATTATCGATCAATGCACAGCTGTATATAGAGTGTTCTTCTGTATAACGTGAATATATATATTCTTTAAGAATAAAAAAAAACCTTTTTCATATACGTGTCTTTTTCATATTTTTTTAAATGTTACAAAGTGTTGTTGTTGTTTTACTTTCATTTGTGCATATATTTTCTTTTATATACAGTACGGAGAAAAAAAATGATTTTCCATCTGGTATTCAATGAAATCAAAATAGGTTTTCTTTTATCAGTGCCGTCAAGTAGAAAAAGCTTTTTTATGCATAAACATATATTGAATGCAATATGTATACAAATATTGAGGATGTATTATCTCGGAAAATTGATTTAGAGTCGCAGTCAACTGATAGAGCTAATATTGGAGACAATAAAAAGAATAAAGTTTCCTAATATAAAGGACACATTATATTACATACTCTGAATAATTTGTTCTATCTATTCGCACTCTCTCTACAGTCAAGTAAAGATCACCATACAAATAATCGTGCTACCGCCAACACTACAAAAACAAAATCGAATGTAAAAATTACTGCTACGAGGTAATAAAAACTAATTGAAGCAGATGTTCTTTTTGTGTGTCTACAAATGTAGAGGTTGAGTGAGCAACTATATATTTAATATTCTAGTATACAAGAGATGGGTCAGAAAAAATTAATCACTTTCTATGTTTTATCATAAATATTCGCATCATCAGGAGGCAGTTTTTTTTTGTAAAAGATGTATCTTGAAATATTCTGTAAAAATTGTACTGACGAGGGAACGTATTGAACTGTTACCTCACTTTTTCAGCAATATCCAGTAGATTATAGGTAATCGACCATGCTGATTTCGAATCTGCACATGAGAGCTACTTAGATCTTTGAAGATCCGGTTTTCCGTAAAACTGGTTTTCCAGATACACTTAAAAAGCAACCAAAATCTTTTTTAATGAGTCATGATTGTAGCACATTTGTGATTAAAATGAGACATCTTCCAGCTCTACATGACCTTTCTTTACAAAGTTATAAAATTTACAAGAAAAGCCCTAAATTAATTTCTTCTTATTTCTGTAGCTTTGATTGACAATGAATATTTAGGGCTTTTCTTGTAAATTTTATAACTTTGTAAAGAAAGGTCATATAGAGCTAGGAGAGGTCTCATTTTAATTAGAAATTTACGGGCTACAATCATACCTCATTAAGAAAAGTTTTGATTGTTTTTTAGACTTTCTGAAAAACTGGTTTTCCAGAAAAACGGGTCTTCAAAGGCCTAAGGGTAGCTCTCATGTTTATATTCAGAATCAGCGTGGTCGAATACGTATAATCCACTGGATTTGCCTGAAAAGGCGAGGTAACAATTCGATAGGTTCCCTCGTGAGTGGTTTCATTACAAAATATAAAAGTAAAACCGTACGCTCACAAAAAATTATGAGAAACTGAAAAATGATCAACTTTAGAACGCATTTTTTAGGTGCTTTCAAAAAAGATACGAGGATCTGTAGTATTAAATCAGGTTTTCTTAAAATCTTTATATAAATCTTAGAATGAATGCATTGAAATCGTTTTGAAATCAACGAAGTTTTGCTCTTTTCAATCATCGTATTGGAAGAATGAAAGCTTTGAAACTTGACATTTGGATACTATATGATAGATTCTATTCAAAGTAAAACACTCAAATCGAAAATATTTGATATTGATCGAGTTGTGATGATTTTATACAAGGATGATTACGTTCCAAAAATAATAAATTTGACAAATGAAAAAAGGAGAAAAATATTTGTGTAATCAGTTATCTTCTGCACTGTTCGCATCTAACTTGAGAGGAACAAAGTAGATATAATCCTGTCAATGGAAAGAAACAACGCATGGACACATTTGTCATATATATCATCGAACAAATAATATGTGTGAAGAGAAACACTTTCTTATTTGTGATAGAGTCCTATTGCTCTTCTAAATCAGTTCTATTAATTATGTACGATTTTAACTGCAGTGTTTAAATGACGAAAACTACAGTTCTCATGTATCCTCATATAAATAATATTCAAAAATAAGCTAGTACACTGTTTCATTTTTTGCCATAGCAGCTTTGAATTATTCTTGCACAAGTGTCTGAATCTTGTTCATTTTTCTTAAGGCACTTACTCATCACCATCCTCACTCTTACCACTCAAATGTTGACACATCATCAAAAAAACGTGTTCTCACTGTCAGTAGTTGATTCCTGCTGATATTTTGATTGTTTACTCTCTTCATCATTTTTATTTGTTTACAATTGGATTCTTTTTCTTTGATGTACCGTTTTACAGGTCGATTTTTAGATAATTCTCCTTCCTATATCGTTACCCTTGCAAAAATAAATGAAATGATTTTGTAAAATCCTGTCATCTAGCCAGAAGAATTCATGAATTCACATTCGACTGTAAAGTATCATACAGTGAAATTGAAATAGATAGCGAATTTGGACCCTGTTATGTTATATAGAATATTTTACTGTTCATTTTACGCAATCATGTTGAACTTTTATGATATATAGTCAATATTTATTGTTTCATTTTAACAAAATCTCTCTTTGAACAAAAATATGTGTGGTTCAATGTTACATTTTTCTATCCTAAAGTAGCATTACATCTATTCTATTTATCAAGTTCAAAACTGGGTGATACTACTGTGTTGTATAATCTTGTATAATCTTGAATGAATATACTGTACAATACAATGTATCAAGTAGAGCTTAAAACTACGTGGTTATTTAAAATTCTGTTTTATCATCGATAAAGGATTTAACTAAACATGATATCGGATAGTACAAGATATCGATATAATATACGAAGCTACTCTACCATATAAAAGAAGAACAAATCAACATTTTTCTCACTTCACTTTGAACACATTTAAAATATCTATTTTGTATAGTTGGAAAAAAGTAAGTATTCATATAATGTTTTATTGTTCAACAGTTTTTCAGTCTTCCTTCTTCGCTGTTAACACTCCCGCATAGGATTGAGGAATATATCTACAAAACTAGAAAATAGATTACTATAGTAGTTCAAAAACCTTTATGAAAAATTCATGATGCTAAATCTTCGAAGTTTGCTTAGATCCATCGAAATACCTTATTCAAGAACTCAAAATGTTGAAACATCTTACTGAATTTCTGTTGCTAAATATCGCCGCATCATTGTACGGTCAAGAGATAAGCGGAATTTACATGGTTGATTCGTGTGATTGTACAAAATCTCAAGTATGTGATACCAATGGCCCTTTTAATGTGAATCAACAACGGTCATCTATTGGTATAACATATGGTCAACAACAAGTTGGTTCTGGCACGTATGCCAATAATAAATTCGATGTTTCACTAAATGGTAATCGTTGTAAAGGTCGATATAAGACTGGAATAGCAGAATTAACGTGCCAATATACGGGTGGAAATGCCTGTTACACAAAACTCAGATGTATTGCTGGTAATTGTCTTAATCCAAGACAAATAAGTGTATCATCATCCATGAAAATGACAACACAAGTACCAATTTTAGTTTTACCATTTATAATAATGTTCATCTTATTATGAACAGCCATTACTCAAATACAAGTTTTTTTAACTTGAAAACGAACATTTCCATTGATGATCAAGTAATTTTTCACAGAAGAAACGTGAAAAGGACGTTGATAATATGCAGTATATTAGTAAACAGTTGAATATTATGACTAAAAACGTCCATATCTACTAGTTTTGGTAAATGACTACTTCTGTTACTTGTGAACGATCATTTCTTCTTTTCTGTATAGTTTTTTTACTGAACATAAGATATTTCGACTTCAATACACTTTATCTCACATTCAAATTCTATCACCTGTGATTTTGTTCTAAGAAATAATTAGTTAGAATAACGAATTAGTTAGCCATAGCCGTCTGAAAAGTAAAGCAGAAGAGAATTAATTGGATTTAAACATCTTATTTTAAGATGGATTATTCGTCCATCCTACCTTATTTGAAAACTTCATTTCCACCTTATTTGGAAGTTCATTGTCTTAATAATATGATCACCCGCGAAATAATTTGAAGCGGCTAACGATCGTTAAAACGCGTTAAATATGAAACATTTGATTATTTTCATATTTAATACGTTCTAACGATCGTTAGCCGCTTCAAATTGTGTCATGGGCATAATACTATCTACTAGGGTATTGAACTTGATAGAAAGAGATGTAATCATTTATTTTAGAAGTCATCGTTCTTTATACACAGTGATGAATATAAAACAAGAGAGTTGATCGACTTCTTCGTCTGCTACAGGAATAAGATGGATGACCTCCTACAAAAAGCATGCATCTTAAAATAAGGTGAATAGATTTGTTTGTCTTGAAGACGAGAGAGAGAGAGAGAGAGAGAGACAGAGAGTAAGATGCACATCATACAATGGATCACTTTGTAGTGTGATAAAGTCTGTCAGATCAAAGCTTCAATTTTCTATAAGAGTGATTTGTAACTATCATTAATAAAAACATCAATCTCACATCGTTGATGATTGGTTTAATTATATTTTAGCTTAGAAATTACGATCATCATATCCCCCGTTAGCACTATGGCGCACATAGTGAGAAGTAATTATCAAACACACAGGATGACTTTTTTTGAAAAGAGTAAAGGATACAAATAAAAGTTTCTTTCAGGCTCAGGTAGAAAACTTGAAAAACAAAATGCTTTACCACTTCCACTATCCATGATTGTATGAGCACAGTTGCTCTACATGTTATGATGAAGAACGAGACTGTTGGGATGTCAATCTTGCCGTGCTAGAGATGTTTCATCACTCTTTATACATATTTGACTCAAATCCGGATCTTTCAGATAGCTAATCTTGAAATTTTGTATGAATAAATGCTTTCTGGAAATACAAAGCCATAAGAATGTGTCTATGATGAGATATTTCTGAAACTGATTCAGAATGTCAAAAGTAACTGTCGATCCTAAAATGGCTGTAAATAACCAGTAAAAGCTAACCGTCAATAGTTAACAGTTAGCACTATACTTTGGCATATGAATAGTATTTATTCCTTTTAAGTTCTCATTCACGTTTTCAAACGCAGCAATTCATTAAAAACATCTTTAGCATTTAATTTCTGTTCTACAGAATAATATACGGATTATTTTTCAAGAAAAACCCTTATTTGATCCTTTGTCACCAGACGAATGACTAACTTTTAGATGATTTGTTATCCATTCTTACAGCTGTTGCATAATAAACAAAACTATCATTGCATTTTAATTTTCTCATTGTTATATCCGAACTGAACAAACTGATTTGAGACATTCTGATGAATGTGTGAATTAGCAATAACCAACATTTACCCGTTTGAAGAACAGCTATCCGAAACTATATATTGTGACATCGAGATCATATAAAAAAAATTTCAATGCATCACTACCATCATGCCTTATTGTACTGCCACTGATTTGAGACTGACGCCGGATAGTGCCGATATACATATTCCAAAAAGTGCCAGATTGAAACTTATTTAGTCACTACCTTTTTCTTTTAAAATGGTTTTTACTTCCTTTTGTATTAAGCAGAGTGCGGTACTAATGTGTAACAATACCATATTACCATGCGACACTGCTTTTATGGGAAGAAAAATATGTAGTTAGATGTTCGAAGTATAACTGCTGATGTTGATATGAACAGACGTCGGCAAAACAAAATGGTGATTGAAAAATAAAATTCATTCTTCAATGCATCTCGTTTATTTAGAATAGCGTCAGCAGGTTCACTGTTGATCAAGTTGATATTCTGTCAAGAACAACAAATTTTCTTTTAAATAGTTTGCAATAATGTTTTTGTCATATCAGCTGCTATTTGTTTGTTCTAATTTATTTTGTACTTATATTAAATCAATACAAGAAAATGAGAACAAGACTGATATACATAAATTCACCATCTAAACCACAAACATCTATGTTTTCCGCCTAGAGTAAAGTCTCTCTACGTGGACACTTCTAAGTTACTCTCTTCATTCTGATCACAAATGTTCCAAAATGACTTTTTCGCTGAAAATGAATATACCTCAAGTAGACACCTCTGCATTATGACTAATTTTGGAAAGTCAGAAGGTGCCCACAACAGAGAAATTTTACTATATTTTAAAGTTGAACAAGTAAAAAAAAAATTTTATACGCAAAAAAAACAGACAAAAAAGTATGATACTGAATTGTGTTTGAATGTTTATATGCATAAAAATGTTATTTCAAAGATTAATTGATTTGTTGATGATATTCTCACTCTTTCTCGTAACATTTTTAAACTTCAACTTCTTTTAATTCGTCAGGTAAATCATTTTTTGGATGTTTATTTTCAAAGTGTTGACGATACGTTTTAGGATCAGGCATTTGAGCCTAAATAGAAACGAACAAAATGAGTTCGATATGAAATCAACCAGAGATGGGCGAGTACTTTAGTATTTTAATACTCGGAGCTTCGAGTATTTCCTTTAACATTAAATTTCTCTCGATCGAAGCATAAAAAGATGCAGTATTTTATATAGTTTGTAGCGCAAAACAAACTCCATCGAACCGACATAAAACTGGTCTCTGCTTTCTGCATCACATTTCAAAATATCTAAAATACTAAAGTACTCGCCCATCTCTGGTTGATTTCATATCGAACTCATTTTGTTCGTTTCTATTTAGGCTCAAA